ATGTCATGTTCATGTCCTTGTGTCTTGCTCCTTCTTTTCCCCTCTGTTTTTCTATGATTCACCAGTTTTTCTCTGTTAGGCAGAGGTGAGGTTTGCCTTTACATACAACAAACTAGCTACCTTCGTTGGAGAGCAGAGGACGCCTTCTTCTTTGTTTTTTTGTCTTTCAATTATAACTGAGTCTCAGAAAATGGGAGAAATAAAGAGAACTGAAACTGATTCAGGAAGCAGATCGTCAATCTTATCCATTTTACAAGACGATCAAGAAGGCTTTTCACCAACCTCATCAAACGCACTGGTACTTGTCCAAAACGCACCAATTATCTCCTCCTACAATGAGAGAATCCGCCCCATGCTTGATGCCATTGACAAGCTCCGGGACCTCATGGTTATGGATGAAGGCATCCAGCTGCCCACCATTGTTGTTGTGGGAGACCAGTCATCTGGCAAATCCAGTGTTCTTGAGTCCCTCGCCGGCATCAGCCTCCCGCGTGGACAAGGCATCTGCACAAGGGTTCCTCTCGTAATGAGGCTTCAGCACCACTCTGATCCTGAACCAGAGCTTTCACTGCAGTACAATGACAGAGTTGAGCACACTGACGAGGACAATATTTCTGAGGACATTGTGAATGCCACCAATCTGATTGCTGGGGACAGTAAAGGAATTTCAGACACCCCATTGACCTTGTTGGTGAAGAAGAATGGTGTGCCTGATTTGACCATGGTTGACCTCCCTGGAATCACTAGGGTTCCAGTTCGCGGCCAGCCTGAGAATATCTACGATCAAATCAAAGATATTATCATGAAGTATATAAAGCCCGAAGAGAGCATCATTTTGAATGTGTTATCTGCTTCTGCTGATTTTAGCACATGTGAGTCAATTAGTATGTCACGGAGTGTGGATTCTAGGCACTTGTTCTTTAGAATGTTATAGCCCTGTTTGATAGGCCGGATTGGATTAGGTAGATTCAATTGAAATGAACATGGATCCTAACCATTGTTTGGTGGGCTTAATTGTCTCATCCTACAATGACAAAGGTTATTACAGCTGATGATGTGGACATTGGTCGGCTATGTCTGTGTAAGGAACCGAATTCGCGATGAAATGTATGAGGAGGCGAGGGCTATTGCGGATTGATTATTTGAAACTGATCCTTTTCTTTCGAAGATTGATAAGTCTATGGTTGGAATTCAGGTTTTGGCTGACAAGTATCAATGACAAGCTGAATTCTTACCTTTCAGAGCTCAACAAAATGCCTAAAAAGCTGTTATCTGTTGCTGAGGCCATGACTGCTGTTATGCAGATCATTGGAACATCCAAAGAATCACTTAAGAAAATTCTTGTGAGGGGAGAATTTGATGAGTTCCCGGATGACAAACACATGCATTGCACGGCTAGGCTTGTTGAGATGCTCAATAAGTGCTCAGATCAGCTTCACGAGTGCAATGAGAGTGAAAACAAAAGTAATTTCTTACTGGAGGAGATTGCGATTTTGGAGGAGGCCAAAGGTATCAACCTTCCCAATTTTGTTCCTCGCAATGCTTTTCTTATAGTTTTGCAGCGTAAAGTTAAGGGGATTTCGAGCATACCTATTGAGTTTGTTGAGCAGGTTTGGAGTTATATTGAGGATGTGGTTTTGTCTGTGTTAACGAGTAATACAGAAAACTATTACCATGTTCAATTGTCTGCCAGAAGAGCAGGCCATAATCTTATTGAAAAGAAGAAAGAAAGATCAATTAATTGGATGACGGAGATAGTGGAAATGGAGAAAATAACTGATTATACATGTAATCCGGAATATCTATCCGAATGGCATAGGCTCATGACTGAACAAGAAACATTCATCCAAAAGGTCTTGCGTGACGCTGAGATAAACATAAATGTAAAGGGAATTGGGATGGTTGAAGTTGGAGGTCTAAGGAAGTACACACATATCCTGTTGTCTCAAGCTTTCGACTTGAAAATGCGGATGACTGCGTATTGGAATATTGTGCTGAGAAGGTTGATTGATATCATGGGTTTGCATTTGCAGCTGAGTGTTTCAAACCTTGTGAACAAGGACCTGGAGATGGAGATTATGAATGAGCTACTGGGACCTAACCATGGTGGTGGGATTGAGAGGATGCTGGAGGAACCTTCATCAATGGCAGTGAAGCGCCAGAAGCTCATCAAGAGCATCAAAAAGCTGAAGGAGTCTAAAGAGGTTGTGTGTAAGATCATCGACAACAGGTTTACTTACGCCGATTACCTTGTGTGATAGATAACTAAGGAGTCCAGTTAAATTATGGTATGTTCCGTGTGAAAGAAGGCATTTTGCCAATGATGTGTGGTTGATCTGTTTGTACTTAATTATGGATCTGCATTTTGTTTATCATGTACCTGGTTGGTTGATGTTCTTGTGTGGATGATCTGTTTCTACTTAATTATAAGCACATTCTGTTTTTGTCTTTTGGGTTGCTAAACCTTACCAGGCTTGTTCCTGGAACAGGAGGAAATTTCTATCCTCTGTTCCTTCCTAGATCTCTTAATTCATGACACTGTGGGTGATGGTAGAAACACCTTCGTTTGTCATGATCACATTTGAACCCTTTTGGGAGCTTTTCTTTTTGAGCTGGGACCCTTGTTAGTCTTCCATTTCGTCAATGGGAATCTATTGGCATTTGCTTTTGCCAAGCTCAATGGGAATAATTAATCACTTCCCAATGGACCTCTGGCCTTCTAGGCACTTGTTCTTTAGAATGCTATAGACCTTGTTTGATCGGATTGGATTAGATAGATTCAATTAAAATGAACATGGATTCTAACCATTGTTTGGTGAGCTTAAAATATATCATGGACTGGATATGGGTATTGGATACCAATCCAAAATAAGAGTGGGTCCAGAACCCATCACCAAAGTGAAGACCTTTAGACCATCTCCAAAGGTGAAAGACTCAAACCCCAAATTTCACCTCTCGAAATACAACTTTTAATCTATACATAGGACTCAAACAGTATTACAACATTATGTATACACTTTACAAGTTTATGGAACATTGATGTCCAAAGCATTGTGATATGATTCCGTAGTACTGTAAACCCTTGTGTTTACAAGAATAAAGACCACCTTTACTTCTCCAAGGCCAACTCTTTCCTCAGCCTTGTAATGGGGATCCTTTCTATTGTAAATCATAGTATTACAAGATTATGGATACACTTACAAGTTTATGGAATGTTGAGGTCTAAAACATGGTAAAAAAAAAATCCTTAATATTGTAAACCCTTGTGTTTACAAGAATAAGGACCACATTTACTTATGGAAGGTCCACCCTTACTTCTACAATTACCAAACATGGAGATATTAATTGCATAAATGAAGTGCTTATTGGACTGCAATTGAATTTTATGTACAAAAGATGTGGAACCCTGTTGGATAGTACAATAGATCGATCTTAATCAATTTTTAACTTTAGTCCATTTGGTGATTAAAAAAATTTAGGTAAGTTTTTATTTGAACCCAATTATTTTATAAGTAAACTCAACAAAGTAGACATGTCAATGAATCGGATTTTGAACCGAATCCAATTTGAATTCGATATAATTAATAGGAGATGGATTGGACTTCTTAATCTGATATTTGATTACAATTCGAATTTGATTATAAATGGATACGAATATAGATTATAATTGATCAAATCCGATAATAATCTGATAACTTAGTATGTAGTATAATTTAGTTTTTCTAGGCTTCATATTAATATTTTATATGTGTAAATGAGTAATTTTAGTTTTATATGCACTAATAATACACTTAAAACTAATTTTTATGATAAAATATCACAAATTGATATAAAAATAGATAAATACAATAAAAGAACGAGGCTAATAATGAAATTTTGATTTTTTGTACATCAAAAAATAAATCATATAATAATCCGATTCGATCTGAATTCGATGCGTAACGAATATGGATTGACAGGTGCAATCCGCTAGTCCAAATACGATCTTAATCCGATAATCAAATTATAAATGAATTCGAATTTAGATTGAGGTATATCCAATCTGAATCCGACCCGTTTACAAGTCTTCAACCAATGTTTCTTTTATCCTAAAAAAAAAAGGAATTTCTTAAAAAAAAAAAAAAAATTCGTTCATTATAAAAATATTGTTTAAAATTTTCAGTATTACATTAATTTAAAAATAAAATAAAAAGGGAAAACTACAACACCATGGAACTGTGAATAGTTGTGGTGGCGTTCTATGAATTTATCTTAAGTTCTTTTAGTTTTTTTTTTAAAAAAATTTATGGGTAATCAAAATAATTATTTTTTACCCAACAAATTTGTAGTTATTATCGTTTTTGGTTACAAGTTAACAACAAAAGAAACAATTTGGTTGATTGGATTTATATATAAAGTTTTAAAATTTGATTGGGTTAGTTGGGTTAAGATTACTTTATCTGAACATTGAATAAGACATTTTGACCAAAAAATTTTGAATAAGACAAAGTTTCTTTTTCAAAAGAAAAGGACAAAGATTAAATATTAAGAAAAGCTTGGAACTCCAACGAAAAAAGAAGAAAAGCTGGGAACCGGCAACTTAAACAACAGGTTTCATATATTTTTTTAAAATGTGGGTGTACGGTCTGGTTTTGGTCTTAATCAACTGAGTGCGCCGTACAACACTCTACCTTTTACTAAAGAACGCTTTACCTTTTATTAAAGAATGCTTTTTGGTTTGGTTCTTTAAACAAAACAAAAAAAAAAGGTTGAATGAATGAATTATATGTTTCTGAAACGTATTTGTCTATGTCATGTTCATGTCCTTGTGTCTTGCTCCTTCTTTTCCCCTCTGTTTTTCTATGATTCACCAGTTTTTCTCTGTTAGGCAGAGGTGAGGTTTGCCTTTACATACAACAAACTAGCTACCTTCGTTGGAGAGCAGAAGACCCCTTCTTCTTCTTATTTTTTGTCTTTCAATTATATCTGAGTCTCAGAAAATGGGAGGACCGAGAACTCAAACTGATTCAGGAAGCAGATCGTCAAGCTCATTCATTTTACAAGATGATCAAGATGGCTTTTCACCAACCTCATCAAACGCACTGGTACTCGTCCAAAACGCACCAATTGTCTCGTCCTACAATGAGAGAATCCGCCCCATTCTTGATGCCATTGACAAGCTCCGCAGCCTCATGGTTATGGAGGAAGGCATTCAGCTCCCCACCATTGTTGTTGTGGGAGACCAGTCATCTGGAAAATCCAGCGTTCTTGAGTCCCTCGCCGGCATCAGCCTACCGCGTGGACGGGGAAATTTTTATCCTCTGTTCCTTCCTAGATCTCTAATTCACGACACTGGGGGTGATGGTAGAAACACCTTCCTTTGTCATGATCACAATTTGAACCCTTTTGGGGGCTTTTCTCTGAGTTGGGACCCTTGTTAGTCTTCCATTTGGTTAATGGGAATCTATTGGCATTTGCTTTTGCCAAGCTCAATGGGAATAATTAATCACTTCCCAATGGAGCTCTGGGCTTCTAGGCACTTGTTCTTTAGAATGTTATAGCCCTGTTTGATAGGCCGGATTGGATTAGGTAGATTCAATTGAAATGAACATGGATCCTAACCATTGTTTGGTGGGCTTAATTGTCTCATCCTACAATGACAAAGGTTATTACAGCTGATGATGTGGACATTGGTCGGCTATGTCTGTGTAAGGAACCGAATTCGCGATGAAATGTATGAGGAGGCGAGGGCTATTGCGGATTGATTATTTGAAACTGATCCTTTTCTTTCGAAGATTGATAAGTCTATGGTTGGAATTCAGGTTTTGGCTGACAAGTATCAATGACAAGCTGAATTCTTACCTTTCAGAGCTCAACAAAATGCCTAAAAAGCTGTTATCTGTTGCTGAGGCCATGACTGCTGTTATGCAGATCATTGGAACATCCAAAGAATCACTTAAGAAAATTCTTGTGACGGGAGAATTTGATGAGTTCCCGGATGACAAACACATGCATTGCAAGGCTAGGCTTGTTGAGATGCTCAATAAGTGCTCAGATCAGCTTCACGAGTGCAATGTGAGTGACCCCAAAAGTAATTTCTTAAAGGAGGAGATTGCAATTTTGGAGGAGGCAAAAGGTATAACCCTTCCCAATTTTGTTCCGCACAATGCTTTTCTTTTAGTCTTGCAGGGTAAAGTTAAGGGGATTTCGAGCATACCTATTGAGTTTGTTGAGCAGGTTTGGAGTTATATTGAGGATGTGGTTTCGTCTGTGTTAATGAGAAATACAGAAAACTATTACCATGTTCAATTGTCTGCCAGAAGAGCAGGCCATAATCTTATTGAAAAGATGAAAGAAAGATCGATTAATTGGATGACGGAGATAGTGGAAATGGAGAAACTAACTGATTATACATGTAATCCGGAATATCTATCCGAATGGCATAGGCTCATGACTGAACAAGAAACATTCATCCAAAAGGTCTTGCGTGACGCTGAGATAAACATAAATGTAAAGGGAATTGGGATGGTTGAAGTTGGAGGTCTAAGGAAGTACACACATATCCTGTTGTCTCAAGCTTTCGACTTGAAAATGCGGATGACTGCGTATTGGAATATTGTGCTGAGAAGGTTGATTGATATCATGGGTTTGCATTTGCAGCTGAGTGTTTCAAACCTTGTGAACAAGGACCTGGAGATGGAGATTATGAATGAGCTACTGGGACCTAACCATGGTGGTGGGATTGAGAGGATGCTGGAGGAACCTTCATCAATGGCAGTGAAGCGCCAGAAGCTCATCAAGAGCATCAAAAAGCTGAAGGAGTCTAAAGAGGTTGTGTGTAAGATCATGGACGACAGGTTTACTTACGCCGATTACCTTGTGTGATAGATAACTAAGGAGTCCAATTAAATTATGGTATGTTTCGTGTAAAAGAAGGCATTTTGCCAATGATGTGTGGTTGATCTGTTTGTACTTAATTATGGATCTGCATTTTGTTTATCATGTACCTGGTTGGTTGATGTTCTTGTGTGGATGATCTGTTTCTACTTAATTATAAGCACATTCTGTTTTTGTCTTTTGGGTTGCTAAACCTTACCAGGCTTGTTCCTGGAATAGGAGGAAATTTCTATCCTCTGTTCCTTCCTAGATATCTTAATTCATGACACTGTGGGTGATGGTAGAAACACCTTCCTTTGTCATGATCACATTTGAACCCTTTTGGGAGCTTTTCTCTTTGAGTTGGGACCCTTGTTAGTCTTCCATTTGGTCAGTGGGAATCTATTGGCATTGGCTTTTGCCAAGCTCAATGGGAATAATTAATCACAGGACATTGGTCTTGGCTATGTCTGTGTAAGGAACCGGATTCGTGATGAAACGTTCAATGGAGCTCTGGCCTTCTAGGCACTTGTTCTTTAGAATGTTAGATTCAATTAAAATGGACATACCATTGTTTGGTAAGCTTAAAATATATCATGGACTAGATATGGGTATTGGACACTAATCCAGAATAAGGAGTAATTTTTGGGTGTTCCGGGTACATCACATGGCTGGTCGATTCCACGACGATTTGAAAACAGAATACACGACGGTGAATTCCCGTCATTGTTTTCCTTTTTTGTAGTAGTTTAAATAAATAAATAAATAAATAACTTGAAATGGAAATGGAAAATGGAAATCTATTTCATGATCTTATCTACATGGTCTTTTTTTTCTTTACAAATCGAAGTTGTATTATGTCTGTTTATTGTTTTATTCAATCTAGAAATACCAATTCATGAAAAAATGCCTTCTTGATTGCATACACATTGGTATACAAAAAATGCCTATTTTATTTTAGGTGCATATGCATATACCTTTTTAAAATACAAAAATAATTTTAATTTTTCTTTGTTGAAATTAATTTTTCAGATTTTGCCTAATAGTCAAATTTGTTTTCAATTCCAATATTTATTTTGGCAATAAAGTTGTTAATAATGTTGGGTGATTATTGCCCTTAACATGGTTATTGTTGATGCTCAAAATGGTTAGGTCAAGATTGAGTCCAACTTAGTGATGAGGTGTGATGGATGATGAATGAAGGTGAGGACCTTAAGCATGTGTATAAAGACTTGGGCAAGCGATAAATGTAAAGAAGACAAGATATACGTGGTTCACCCTTAATGAATGGGCTACGTCCACGGAGAAGTATGTTCTCATTATAATAGTGTATGATTACATTTGTACATGGGGTTGGACCCGAATATAAAGATAACAAGTGAGATGCCCAAGTCAGGGATCTAGAAGAGAGTCCCCGGCCCTAGGGTCTAGCTCTAAGACCCGGATCCTCTTCTAAGTGGAGAGAGGAAGTC